CTCCGCCCCCGTCGGACCCGCCCCTTAGTGGCTCCGCCCCCCAGCACCTGCCGCCTCGGAGGCACTGTCCACTCCGGGGTCTGCCTCTCCGACTCAGCTGGACACGATGCCTCCTTGCCCTTCCCTCTGCGTCCGAGCCTTGTCCCCGCTCCATCGCCCATTCCCGCCCCAGCCCCAGGGCCCGCGATCCTCCCAGTCCCCGCCCTCAACATTGGCCCCCACGCCATCACTGGGCCCACACTTTCTCAGCCAGCTCTCTCCCTTGAGTTTCTTCCTTGTCAATCCTGTTCTCCCCATTCTTCTTCTTAATTATTATTATTACTATTATTTAGTATCTGCTCTCGTGGTTCCCCTTTTTCTGGCCTGTGAAACCCACGTGTCCAGACAGCCCGGGCTCAGCCATCCATTCTGCGCAAGGAAGGCGGACTCAGTGGCCGCTCCAGGAAAGCAGCGCGGGAGTCTGATGAGAACTGGAGTCCCTCTGGGTCCCACAGCTCCTTTCTGGCCACCTGCCTTCCCTGAAAATCCTTGTAAGTCCGTCCATTTCAACAAATGTGTTGAGGGACTGGTATTTAGCAACACTGTCAAGAATGGGAGCACAGGGGCTTAAGTCACAGGGCCTATTCTTAATGAGCAATTATCTAGGGAGAGAATCAAGAAAAGAATCAGCCGTGATTCAACCAGTGAGCCTTTGATAGAGGCAAAGTAGTAGTAATAGAAGTAATTAATAATAATAATGTGACGACAATATCGCTAACAACAGAATCCTACCTCTGAGGTAAGTATGATCCACATTACCCATTTTGGGAAACTGAGGCTCAAAACATTTAAGTTACTTGCCCAAAATCACACAACTAGTAAGAAGAAAAGCAAAAAAAAAAAAGGAAATTCAACTCACCCCAAAAGAGGTTGCACTTTTCTGTAACATCATCTTGCATGCTATGTCTGGAAGCTTCTGAAAATCCCAGATTCTTCAAAAGGAGGTGAAATTCAGCTTCAATAGGAATTCCACAGCTGAAAAATGAGGGATGCACCATTGAGGCAGCAAAGGGGTGGCAAAGGCAGAGTAGGACCGGTGTGGAGGCGGGAAGGAGGGGACAGGGTGTCAGCATGTCACTGGGTGAGCGGACTGGACAGAGCAGGTCTGTCCTTGCTCCAGGGCTGTGTTTTCCCTGCCCTGGATGAAATCCTGGGCAGGCTCCATGGCTTTGCTGATCGCTCTGAGATAACGAATGAATGACACCTTTCTTTGGCATTAAAAAAACAAATTCAATCCACTCTACAAAGCAGCCAACTCTAGTCCAGCCCAGAGTGACATTAAAAACTCTGAATCTGCCCATCCACAGCGGCTCAGTAGTTGAGCATCTACCTATGAACCAGGAGGTCACGGTTCAAATCCTGGTCAGGGCAAATGCCAAGGGTTTCAGGCTTGATTTCCAGTAGGGGGCGTGCAGGAGGCAGCCAATTAATGATTCTCTCCCATCATTGATATTTCTATCTCTCCCTCTCCCTTCCTCTCTGAAATCAATTAAAAAATAAAAATAAAACTCTACCCTGGCTGGTTTGGCTCAGTGGATAGAGTGCCGGCCTGGGGACTGAAGGGTCCCGGATTCAATTCCAGTCAGGGGTACATGCCTGGGTTGTGGGCTCGGGAGGCAGCCAATCAATGATTCTCATCATTGATGTTTCAATCTTTCTCTCCCTATTTCTTCCTTTCTGAAATCAATAAAAAAAAATTTTTTTTAATAATAAAACTCTGAATCTTAGGCATTAAAGAGATCCACATTGAAACCACAATATGATAACCATTATATACCTACTAGAGGTGGGGTCCCTCGGCCTGGCCTGGGAGGATGGGGCAGAAACTGGCTCTTCGACATCCCCCAAGAGGTCCTGGATTGTGAGAGGGCGGTTCTCAGGTGATGCACCCCAGAATCGGGTTCCCTCCTCTCTGGTTCCCCCACCTTCACTCTTCTCCCCCTCCATTTCCTGCTGGTGCTCCCCACCAGTGGACCCACAGACAACAAGAGAGCAAATGACCCACAGGTGCAGCCCATAAAAGCTTCAGCCCCCGGGCATGGAGCAGATGGAGACAATGGAAAGAGGTTGGAAAGGGCAAATGGAGCATGTCCCACATCCAGGCAGGTGGAGAGAGCGGGAGCAGAAGGAAGGCCCAGAGCATAGAGAGCCTGGGACAACCAGCTGGAGCAAATGCTGAGCGACAAGAGATACAGCTTGAGACAGGCCAGGGCCAGAGCATCCTGTTAGGGAGCTTTTATCTCATTCTCTGAGCAACAGGAGCCTTCGAAGCAGGGGAATAATGTCATTATGTCTTAGCAAAGTCATTCTGGCTGCTGCAGGAGAGACAGTGGCTGAACACAGCGAGTCCAGTTGGGAGGCGAGAGAGGATGAGGGTTGACCGTAGGCAGTCACCGGTGATATGGTGACTAAGGATGCAGGTGATGATGGGGATGTGGGATCTTGATTGTCCGTTGGATGCATATTCTAGGTACTATTGCTACTTCCCCACCAAACTTGGCGTAAAACCATAAACATGGTTATAAATCAGTGATGGCAAACCTTTTGAGCTCGGCGTGTCAGCATTTTGAAAAACCCTAACTTAACTCTGGTGCCGTGTCACATATAGAAATTTTTTGATCTTTGCAACCATAGTAAAACAAAGACTTATATTTTTGATATTTATTTTATATATTTAAATGCCATTTAACAAAGAAAAATCAACCAAAAAAATGAGTTCGCGTGTCACCTCTGACACGTGTGTCATAGGTTCGCCATCACTGTTATAAATGAAGCAGTCAGTAATTCAGCTGCGGGGGCTCGTGCCTGCTCCACAGCCTGCTAGGGTCTCAGCAGGGGAGACTAGAATGGCCAGGGGAGGGGTTAACTCGGCACAGCTGGGTGCTGGAACCACCTGGAGGCTTCTTCACTCACACCTGGCATGTCGGGAGGCCGTAAAGATGGGGCTCAGCGGGGGCTGAATCTGGAATCATCAGCATGGGACCACCCACTGTGTGGCCTGGGCCTCGCACAGCAAGGCCCCGGTTTCTGAGAGTGAGCGTCCCAAAGGATGCAAAACAGAAAAGGTGTCTGAGCCCCAGCCAGTGTGGCTCAGTTGGTTGAGTGTAGGCCTGTGCACTGAAAGGTCGCCGGTTCAATTCCTGGTCAGGGCACATACCCAGGTTGCGGCAACCAATCACCAATGTTTCTCCCTCTCTCTCTGTCCCTTCCTCCCTCTCTAAATCAATAAACACATCCTCAGGAAACACACCCTCGTATCCTCGGGTGAGGATTTTTAAAATGTAAAGAAAACAAACTGCCACATTGTGGGTGATTCTCTTCTCCACACTCCATCCCCCCAAACCCCCTCCTTCTCTCTCCCAACCTTTGTCTCTAAGTCTCATCTCAGTAAAGGGCACTTCCCCCCAAATCAGTGTCACCCTTGACGCCTCTCTTCTTGCCACCCCAAGTCCAATCCATCTCTGTGTCTTGATGTTATTCCCCAAACATGTATCATCTCCACTGCCCCCCTCGCCAGAGCCCCATTGTCCCCCATCCACAGCAGCCTCCACGCCTGCCCCCTCTAATCTCTTCTCTGCAGAACAGCGGGCAGCTGTAAAGTGCAGCTCGCAACACTCCCCCACTGAAAGCACCGCAGAGTCCTTTGCTGGGAACAACTTCTTCAGGCTGCACGGTGACCTCCCAGCCCATGTGCTCCCCTCCCCTGGAGTCCCAGCTCCACACACTGATCTTCTCATATGTCCTCAAACCCCCTGAGCTTGCTGCCCCAGATCTCTGCACAGGTTGTTCCTTCTGCCTGGGACAGCCCTCCTCCTCCTCCTCTTCGTGTGCCTGTCCCCTTCTCATCCTTGGGGTCTTATCTTTTTCTTTTTTTTAATACTTTTTTATTGATTTCAGAGAGAGGAGGGGAGAGAGAGATAGAAACATCAATGATGAAAGAGAACCATTCCCTCTCACCCCCTACTGGGGATCGAGCCCGCAACCCAGGCATGTGCCCTGACCAGGAATCGAACCCTGACCTTCTGGTCGACACTCAACCACTGAGCCACACCGGCCAGGCAGGGGTCTTATCTTTAAAGCCTCTTTTCCTGACAGATTTCCCATCCCCAGTGGTTGTTATTTCAGCCCCTGGTGTTCCCTAAAACGTTACCACCGTTTTAAATACGTTTGTCTCTTTATTTGGTTTACTAGAGGCCCGGTGCACAAAAATTTGTGCCCTGGGGGGAGGGTCCCTCAGCCCAGCCTGTGCCTTCTCCCAGTCTGGGACCCCTCAGGGGATGACCACCTGCTGGCTTAGGCCTGCTCCCCGGGGGATTGGGCCTAAGCTGGCAATCAGACATTCCTCTGGCAGCCCAGGAGCCCTCAGGGGATGTCCACTTGCCAGCGGAGAGCAGGCCTAAGCTGCAG